ACGCCAATAATGCCCAGATTTTTGTGCGGACCACCACCATTTTCTCGCCGCCGTCGGTTGGCGACCGTAGGCGCGAGATCTTCCCTTTCTGACAAACCGTTTCCAACGCTACGAGGACAGCACCGCTACCCAAAGAAAAGGATGTCACATTACGCATCTCCCAACGGTGCAACTGACACGCATTGACAACACCTGTCTGGGAGGAGGGTAAGAAAGGAAATTTTATGTGGTCAGAGAGGAAATTCAATTTCACTGTAATATTTCCACACAATTGTTGGAAATTGTGCGGTTTCTATTGACGTTTTCATACGTAATATCACGATTGCATTGTGGAATTATTTCCACGAGAACAGATGTGGATTGCACTGTGTAGTAGGCAATGATACAAAGAGGTAAGGTTTCACGAATTAACTAGAGGTTGGGTGGCAACAAAATCGCCAATTTTATACGGCCATTTCGTCTAGCTTCTATTGTGCATTTCTAGACATTGGCGAGGCTCCGGCCTTCTGACTCCGATGTTAACCCATTAACGCTCATATCATTTAGTGCGCGTGGCGCTCTTCCATTGTCGCGTCCGCGCGCGCGCGCTCTGTTCTTATTGAGGCACACTGTTCGTATTCGCAACTTTAAGTACTAAACTGTTTTGTTTCTAAATTACAGTACTAGAGCACTCCAAAGAGCCAAACGCTAGTTATACGAGTTTTAAGAGTGTTATACGAGCTATAAGAAGAAGCAAATCGTATTAGTTACATATGCCCCGTCTACGACGGAACGGACCAAGTAGAGTTTGCTGTACACTTTACTTTACACTCTCTCTCTCTCTCTCTCTCTCTCTCTCTCTCTCTCTCTCTCTCTCTCTCTCTCTCTCTCTCGTCTCTGTCGCTCTCTCTCTCTCGCTCTCTCTCGTCTCTGTCGCTCTCTCTCGCTCTCTCTCTCTGTCGCTCGCTCTCTCTCTGTCTCTGTCGCTCGCTCGCTCTCTGTCTCTGTCTCTGTCTCGCTCTGTCTCTCTCTCTCGCTCTGTCTCTCTCTCTTTCTCTCTCTCTCTCTCGTCTCTGTCGCTCTCTCTCGTCTCTGTCGCTCTCTCTCTGTCGCTCTCTCTCTGTCTCTGTCGCTCGCTCGCTCTGTCTCTGTCTCGCTCTCTCGCTCTGTCTCTGTCTCTCTCTCTCTCCTCTCTCCTCTCTCGCTTTTCTAGTATTACACATTTTACGTAAAAGAGGATACAAATTCGTAGATTCGGAGGGAGGACAATTGCCCGACCCCTGCCCCCTCTTCGCCTAACAAAGCCCTCTGGACAGGAAACTCTCTCGTCCCGCTTAAGGTATACAACACAAATTGAACGCAAAAGTAACATTGTTCGTTTTGTAGGAGTTCAAACAAATCGACAAGGCAAAGGCAACGAGTGGCAACGCGGAATGTTTATCCGGACGTGCAGTCAATCGATAGATCGACCGGAGCATTATCACCGCGCACCAGATCTCCCACGAGTGAGATGCACGCGAAAGCCCGCTCTCTGGGTGGGTGGGGGGTTAGGCGTAAATAACGGATAAGGAAAACAAGCCAGGCAGAGTGTCTACCTCAAACAGCCTGCAGCGGAAAATTAAACGCAAAATGAAATAATGAGAGAACTACGAGGCACGATATTTTTCGAAATTTAACATAGTTGAAATACGAACCTTATTGACATTTATGGAAAGGAAATGAAGATGGAGCGTAAATGTGGATCTTAGCAATTTTTTAGTAAACGAAACAAAATGAGATAATTGGGATAATTAAGTGTACACAATTTTCCCGTTTTCAATAGCATCACAAAGGAAGTGTATTTAACAAGAAAATGAGCAGGACTGAATGTGTGTTTTAATAGTATTGAAGCATTGTATAATGTATTTACATTATGTAGAATGAATAATAATTGCAAAGAGATCTCTTTTCCATCCAGGAAAGAATCTTCTTGCTCATTTATCATTATCTTCGAACCGTGGGCATCGATAGTTCAGCTCTGTTAATGGTGTTTCGCTCAGGGAATAAAACATTCGTCACATCCCGGAAGAAAATTTCCTTTCGATATGTGGTGTTGAAATGCCAGCCAGCGACTGATGCTACTGGCGTTAATTCTATGAATTTTCTGCGTTAGATTCCGGAGGCGCGTGTTCTTTCAAAATTCACAACTACTATCTAAATGTGGCGTTGCTGACTCTTTAAGCTATTTTAAAAGTCTTTTCATAAGTTGAAAATTACTACTACGCAATATTACTGCTAGAATATTATTTTTTCAAATAATGTATTCACTTTTATCATATCGACCCTAATTGGGGTCTTTTTAAAAAAAATAATAAAAGGCACGGAGGATAAATCAATAAAATTTGTAAATCCCATAAATAATAATATATAATAAAATGAAACAAAAATAATAAAACAGGTCGTGACATCATCAGTCCCGGTCTGTAAAAATACTTAAGCGACTTTACTCACAAGAGTTAAATAATGTCGATGGCTAGTCGACAGATTCTCCAAACGGTTCGGTGAAATGAAACTCAGAGAGTAACAACACACTAAGTTTATTACAGAATCAAAATACAAAGTTACACAAATTTCTAATGAAAATCAAAATGGTAGTGAACAGAATACAATATTTCCTTACAGCTATATACGCGCTACCCCCACTTCTGTTTCCAGATAGAGGTTGGAGAAGGGGTAACGCTTGGCATTGCCAGTTAGAGCAAGCGCGCTCCGGGTGGCCCTTATCAGGGAAGTGGATGAGCGCCTCAGGCGAGGGAACTCGGGATATCACTGCGGATGAAAGGTTGAAGTGACCCTTTGAATTATGTGTAGGTCAAAGGGGCAGGCTTCAGTATCGACGGAATATTCCAAGCCCTATCCGGTAAGTTATTGGGGTCACAGAAGGCGCCTCTTCCTCCGATCCCAAAATACAACTTTATCGGGAGGACGCCATGTCGTTTATTTTAATTGAAGGCGTAAGCCCTCTCTTGTTCTGGGGTACATGGTGTACTACGCACCGTCTGTACGTAGGGATATAACACAAGTATGGAACTTAGAGCTTGTCCCGGCTTTGGCAGTGCGCCGCTGGGAGGCTGTATCTGGAGGGGAGAGCCCATATGCCGACGCAGGTCGGCGTTGGATCTCGCTGCCCAGCGAGTGAGGCAGCGGGCTGCAGGGCTCAGGGAGAATAAGGGCCTCTGTGAGCCCTCCAATTCTGTTACACAACGTGCGCCGCTTGGACGTATCAACTAGGAATGCGACATCGATGTGGATGTTTTAAACATCGATGTATTGATTTCGACGTTTCTTGTACATCGATATTCTGTTCATGGTTGAAAAGGTTGTCTAATCACAATTTTGGAAAAAGTTAAAATATGCAATATGAACTGACTAACATTGTACCGCTTTCATCAAACACACTATTGCTCGCCGGAGATGATCCTGATGTCCTTAATATTACCTTCGGTTTCATCGTATTTTTTACACGGAGAAGCGTTTTATAACTTTACTTTAATTTATTTTTATACATTAATACGTGTGGCCTCTGTCAAATTATATTTTGTTGTACACGAATTTTGTTTTGGAGATCAGCTTTAAAACATATATGCTAACCCTAATGTTAAACCAGCTTGAAAACATCAATGTTTAAAAACATCGATGCTTTTGTTCGATGTTTTATTAACATCGATGTTTCAATTTTAAACATCGATGTGAGGCAATATCGAAATTTGTTGTCGATGTCGCATCAATACTTCCAACTTCGTCACGCTTCTCTCAGCGAACTCAGCCGGTCAAGTCAAATAAATTGAAGTAATTTCTGATTAATACCGCTTGATATTGCGTACATGTACAGGATATTTTGTGTTAAAAATATCCAGACGGTCATTATTTCGACAAGTAATGCGCGAGCCCGAATTGACTCAATATACTATTTCCCTCGCTGTCAGTTTGGAAGTAATCTTGCAGAAATCCTCTATTTTTTGCTGAATTCATTGTCCAACAGGTAATCTCTAAAACCACAGACAGGAAGTGAGTGAAGTGCAAGTGTATGATATTTATAGTTCAATATGAAATTACATTATATAATATAAATTATTTATTGTATAGTCCCTTTCCATTCCACCGTGTCTTAAATTATGATAATATATTTTCTTCACTACTTTATAGTTGCCTTAAAATAAACTACTATAATAATTAAATGAAATAATTTTAATTTTACAAAATGATTTAAATGTTTAATATCTTCAATATGAATTCAATATAAAATTACAAAAAAAGAAAAAAAAGTTTAATAGATTCTAAATTGAAGGTTCATTTTTATAGATTCTAAAGTGAAGGTAAGATTACTAAACACACTTTTATAGAAGAATATTAAGGTATGTAAATGGCAACAAACAAATTATACAGAAGCCTTCACACATGTATTATTAATTGCAAATATTTAAATTTACACTTGTAAAATCCAATTATTCGAACTAAGTAGGCCTAAATGAGCATAAAAACAAAATTACAATACGTGTTTTTTATCAGGTCAAAATCGAAATATTTCTGATTCCTAATTACTCCTAATTACAAATCGATGTTCATTAATATGAAATTTATGTGGAGGAAACCTTCAAATTAGTATTGCTTTTCTGTCCGTGCGCTTCATTAAATTAAATCAATGTACTGCTCTGACATTAGGTCTCTAGATACTAAAATTATTATTTAAAAATAGAAAGAGTGTAGCAAAAATGACTTTCTTTTTCCTAAAGAAACCTAGCACGTTCAATTTGTTTTCAATGACCTTCGGTCGAACTGATTTTCATCAATCAATCCATCAATCTTCAGTATCCTACATTTATATCTTCTGATGATCAATACTCTGTCGGATTGCGAGCATTGTAAGGGACATAGAAGTAAGTATTTGCCGAAATGCGTAGAAGGTGAGAGATACTAGCCCTCTCCAGACACGAAAACAAGGCTAATGATTTATTATGAATTATTTAATATTGTTTCAACAGAAAAAAATCGATGGTACCCAAGGAGCCTGTAAGATGTAAGTTGGAAATAGAAGGCAAAGTCATCCAACAAGTTATGAAGTTCAAATACCTGGGAGAAGACATCTCCAACAGTGGCGGTTCTTTATAAGGTTCACAGCTTCACACAACACCCCAAAAATGGAACAGAATAGAAAATACACTTCATTATTACAATTTCATTAATAGAACTACTTTTTTCTGCTCTGCTTATTATTAATTTCCATACCAGTATGACATTGACGAACCGAAGTGGTTACGTTGCTCTTCACGTTTTCGAAGCAACACCTCGCTTCGACCCTATTCCCAAACGACCATTAGGCCCCACGTGACGTCGCTTCTGAGTTTCCAAAGGGCTCTTTCATCGGATCATGTTCATACTTACGCCGTGAACTCCGCTTGGCGCACTACTTATCGGGTTATAGGTCTTATGCCATGTCTTCGTCGCGCCGACAATATAACAGTGTACCCGATACGATACTCGAAAGCTTTGCATCTGAAGTGGATGATTAGGAGCCGACGTAAAATCAGTGTAGAAATGTGTTTTACATGTCGGGTTCGAATAATGCTTTACTTATAGTATTTGTGCATCCTGGGGTTCAATTATTTCAATCAAAGAAGCCTGCTCCGGAATCCGGATGAGTCTGTCCTAAAAATTGAAACAACCATAAAATCAGCAAAAAGGAAGTTTCGTCGACGATGCTATTATTTATTCGACCTACAAGTGACCACGTGAGTGTGAGGGAAAACATGCACTATTTTCTTTTCCTTGCATCTTATTTAGAACACAGAGGACATTTATAACATAGAGGAAATGTGTGGGCGAAGATCAGTTATAATGTCATGACCCATTTGAGTGAGAAACCTTTTTTTAAGAAACACATCTCCATTAAAACACTAATGTTGAACTGTCTGTAACTGAATATTGTGATTTGATGTGACGACAGTTATCGTCGCACTGTAAAACGACAACGATAAAGTGCCTAAGAACAGACATATTCTGAACTAGTAAACTTTGTCAAATTTTGTTTTGCGCAAGCTCAGCTTGTGTTGTGAGGATGGGACGAAAGTGAACAAACGGAAAACCCTGGGATATTTCGAGGATTAGTGGATTTTGTAAGTACTACTGAAGGTGCTTTAAGAATGAACGTATTCATTAAAATTCAGTACAGAACACAGCTGCAAGGAATGTACAAGAGAAGCGAATTTACAAATCCAACATGAGCGTTACCATTATTTCAAGTATTTAATGCTGAAAAATGAAATGTCGGAAGAAATTTTTCCAGAAGTCTGCAAACTTCTTCGAATTCTTCTCACTACTCCAATGACTTCTTCAGAAGCTGAACGATCACTTTCAACAATGAATCGGATGAAAACAATTTCGTAGTAACGCAATGCTGATTGCGATCGTGCGTTGTTGCAATGCTGTCAAATGCTTGTAGAGAAGCTTAACTTATCCGAGAAACAAGTAGCGTCAATGAATTAGTGATGGAAAAATTTGTTCATCTGAAAAATCGGCGATTGATGTTTTCAATTCAAGTAAACAAGTTAAGATTACAATTTCCTCATTTCTGGGTAGATTAATAAAATTGATAATAAATGTCTCGTTCCGAATGTTGCCTGATAAACAATTGTATCGGAGACTACATTCAGAAGGGTCAAGCCCAAAATTAATATAAAGCAATGAATGAGAAATTAAAGCATTATTTTCCAAGATTAGTTATTACGAGTATAATTATAACTATTAATTTTCTTCACAAATTCTCTTGTCAGGTCGGAATAATCAGTAGCCTAGTAGAAATGGAGCCCCTTCGCGCAAACGCAGACGCCCGACGTCCACTTGTCAGTCGTTGCGAACATTGAAAGGAAGATAATCTGCCGGACGTGCAGCGTGGGCCGCCCTGTCGCCGGCAACAGCACCGGCACGTCCGGCGTATCATATTCCTTTGCCACTTGGCCTGATAAGCCGCAACGGCCGGCGACGGCGACAGGGCGCTACGTCCATCGGCGTATTAGCAAAGGCCACGAGTGACAACGGGGTAAGAAATCAGGATGCAATAAAAACAGACTAAAATAGCTGATAGTACCAAATTTTTGAAAATAAGGAAACAAGAATGGAATAATCATAACTTGAGCTGTGATTTATATGCAATAAAAACAGCAAAATATGTGCATATATGTGTAAATATATTTGATAATATATGCAATTGAAACAGGAAAATACGCGAAATAGTGTCATGTAATGTGTAAGTGTAAAAATAAATAAAAAGTAGTGTGGAAAATATATCCCCCCCCCGTCACATACAGTTTTTACTTTAAAAAAAATATTTTTTTTTTACTGAATAAATCTAAATATGTTAACAGGAAAAAAGGATACGGGAATCATATACATTGTTACAAGCGACAAACATCAAGTCCAGAGTTTAATTTTGAAGAACACACATTTCTTAGAAAAATAATAGGCGATACAGTTAATGTACATTTCACCCCCAAAAACAACAAAAATACGTCTTCTTCTCAATTCACGACAAATTTACGGGCTTGACTCTTATCACTACCCCACATTTGCGCCGTGTGTGGGCACACATAGGCACGCGACGAATGCACATTTCATGTCGACAGATACTGCCGATGACGTTTAGCGTGCTTTTCAAGCGACTTCGTACGAGTCAGACGAGGCAACGCTGATAGACTGATTTACGTGGCTATGGCAAAGTAAACAAATCCTCGGAAGCCCGTTGCTTCAGAATAGGTCAATTGATGTACCATAGTAAGTGGCGATAGAACTGTCAGAGCCGCTCACATGCTGTCAGAACTGTAACTTTTGAGCTTCTTTCCGCGGATGAGGGGTGAATATGCAACAAAAATAAGCAAATATGGCTCAAATATGCAAGTATGGCTATATTCTATATTTTATTTTCTATATTTATTACTTATATTTTAGTTTAAAAAAATTGCAAATGCAAATAAATCATTGCCCTAACAATAACACACCAATAAGCGGAGGCAGACTGGGGAAGATAGCCAGGGATATGTTACCATGAAGGAGAAACCCTGGAAGGCCGCAGAAAAGACGGAGAGATCTGCTATCAACATCTAGTAAATCCCCGGGATGAAGAGTGAAGAAAAACAGGTGTACAACCTACATAGAAGAAGAATATGATAATGATTATGATGATAATAATAATAAAATAATAATAATTTAGTAGAGTTCTGTAATGCTTCTTCTCAGTCAGCGCAAGTGATAGTTGCGTATGTTGAAGTAATTTCACTTACAATCTATCATAAATAATATAACCATGTAATTCTCTAATAACTCTAATTGTGGGTCACAAATTTTCGTAACGTTTCGTGAAATGTTACCAGGCAGTCGCAAATACTTTCAATGCTCATTTGACATGTGGCCCGAAAATTCTAGAGCTCCCTCGCCCCTCATCACTTTTTCATACCTCGCCTCTAATCCTGCTCTCTTCAATCTGTTCTTTCTCGGCGCTCACAATCGAATCCATTATAACACGTTTCGCGGAAAGTGTGACTGATAACTGACGAACACGACCTTCATTGCGCAATAGCCGGCCCGTGGGGTTCCCCCTGCGTCGGAAGAGGCAGTCATGTGACAGCGTGCGTCACCCAGTGGGGAGAAAGTGGGTGGGCGGCGACCACATAGTCGGCCCCGCGCCACCTCCCCCTCCCCACCCCTCCCCGCCCTCGTCCATTGACGGACGTGCATCCCGTCTCGTGTGCCGCGCCGCGCCGTCCGCGCCGGCACGGCGTCCTTCAGCGCCACCAGCGCGGCGCGGCGGGCCGCGCGCCCGTTAATCGCTAGAAAATCGGTGCTGCCAACCCAGCGGTGCATCCAGAGACGAATTTTCGAAGGGGAAATTCAAAATATTTTGGTCGAGGTGTCATATTACAGATTTTGTACAATGTCGTAGACTACTCTAACTCATGCAGCAATTCGATTTTATTTCGTTTTAATTCTTATCCTAAAATGTTTGCTTGAAAGTTTCGTGACAAATTAAAAATAATAGATACTGAAAAATTTTAGGGGAGGGAATTCCCTCATTTTCCTCTCAGTGGATCCGCACGTGGCCGACCTATAGGATGATTATCGTTTCGTAAGATAATTTTGTTCTTTGTGGGATGTGCTATTATTTCTGTGGGAAAACCCCTCTTGCAGGATAATTTCATCTACGAAATTGTATGTTACTGGAAATGTACTACAAGAATGCAATGGAATGTTTTAGAGTAGGAGCACGAAGCCGTACACAAGAGCTTCACGAACAATCCCTCAGTTGTTTTCGCTATCGAGTTCCCTCTCAAAACTCAATAGGTAGAGATGGTAGATTTTAGCAATTGCGAAAAATGCGAAATGTTACCAAACACTGAAAAAATAGTAATAGTATGTTTGACGGTCGGTGTAGTATTATATACCTAAAGGTTTTCAATCTGCTATAAAATGCGAAATCATGTTCAAAGTGCGAAATGGTCGTGACTCTGCGAAATAATTGCTAAATTCTGTTATATGGTTTCCTTCGTGTTCGCTTTCTACTAGGGATGCGATATCGATGTTTGAAAACATTTAATTTGAGAGGTCGTATTTATTTATTTATAATTAAGATTTAAGAGTAAATAAAAGTAAAAAATAATAAGAACAATTTCAAAAAAATATCTTGAAAACCTGAGCGCTCAGGTCTATTTCAAGTCAGTCTCAGTTTCCTCATTTCGCTTTATGGAGGTCAAGGGAAACGTAGTCCCGAACCCTACGCGTAACTTCTTATGCTTTCATATTTGTTCAAGTTCACGAATGGCAAAATATTAAATCAGTTTCCCTTGTTTCCAGATTTTAATGCAAAAATCTAAAAAGCATCAATTTTTTTTTTTTAATTTCAGAGATACTTTCCTTAATAATAATGTTCTCAATGAAAGCTACAAAATGCTCAATCTTATTTTTTACAATGCTATGAAATACTTAAAAACATAGCTGTATTTTCAAAATGCTATTTTTTTTTACATTTAAAGTGCTCAATTTTACC